GATCATTGTCTTGATCCTTGGTAGAGAACTTCATTCCATTATGATAGCTCAGGCTATCCCCAGCAGTTCCTTTATATCCAATGACAGTTAGTTTGTACTTACTAGCTGCGTTCCCAACTCCAAAGGTGTGGTAATAAGCATATTTTTTTATCCCTGCAAAGTCCTCCAGTTCTATACGGAGAAAACTGGGGTTTCTTGCTGTAAGTCGGTTTATTTTGTTAAGTCCCAGCCAGAACTCTCCGTTGAGGTCTCCAAATCCTTTAACATAGTCAGCCCAGTTGAGGTAGAAGTTAACAGAACCATCCATTCTCCTTTGAAATACAGTCCAGCCACCTCCTTTACTCATATCACAGTAGACCTATTGAATATAAGTTATATTACATGTACATGTACAGTGTAGCCTCTTTATTAAGGACACCATTGGGCCCACACTACCTCTCCTTAATACATGTACAGTGTAGCCTCTTTATTAAGGACACCATTGGGCCCACTACCTCTCCTTAATACATGTACAGTGTAGCCTCTTTATTAAGGACACCATTGGGCCCACACTACCTATCGTTAATACAAAGGTGTCCCATTTCAGAAGTACTTTTGTATAGGCTTGTACCAATTGGGACATTACAAAAATAATGTCCTCATTATAAAGGTGTCCTTATTATATCAATATTATATGTACCTCAAAGGCTGGTAGTTCATCAGGCTTCACTTTGTATACTCCACTGCATCTGTAGCCTGCATCATATAGCTCCTTACAATCTCGACGGATGCAAGCTATTGTATGGGACCAATAAACTTCAATTGTAATATTACCATAGTATACCTGATGACTGTCCAGTAACAATCACAAGAATGAACCAACTCACCAGTAAAAACCAATAAGACATATTCTCTTTAAGTCTTGTATAGCTACAAATATGAACTGAGACTTACCAGCAGTGAATGACTGGTTTTTATACCCGTTTTGCTATTTTTCAACTTTAGCTGCAAGTTTTGCTTTATAAAGGATACTGTAGTACCATACAGACTCACTATTATGATCACAAGGTGTTTTTGTTTTGATATTTATTGATATTATTATTCATAAAATACTAGAAACATAAACACTGAGGTGCCAATCATTAATATGTTAACTATAAACTCTGTAGGAAAAACAAAACACTGAATCAATAGAGAGTATTTATTATTGCAGAACACACAGGTACATGTACAATAGTTTGGTGTTATTGAGGGAGATCGAAGTTTATCAAAGCATTTATTAAATAAACTACCGTATATCTGGAAATTTTTACCATGATTTAAATTTTACTAAATTAGAATTTCACAAAAATTAGATCATCCATATAATTACAGTACATGCCACATTCAATAATACATGACACAGGGATTTTTTTAGTAAAAATTAAATCACAGCACAATTTTAAAACACAAAAATTTTCTACCACACTAATTTCCTAATCTACGATATATCATGAAACTGTATACACTGCTTGAAGTTATTACAACAATACTGAACAGTGCTGTGAAAACTGATTGACTAGTTTCATGTACAAGTACTGTTAGTGTTGTATGGCTGGTGATTTTGGAGAATCTAAAACTTGACAGATTTGGTGACTATTCATAGTCATATTTGCTAAAATAAAACTCACAATTTTGAAACATTATAATTGTATATACAAGTGACCTCAAATTTCCAAAATGCATGCAAGATACACTATTCAAACACTATGTCAATTTGCAATTATTTTGTCCTTCACAAAATGATACTGATTGTAACTTTATTTTTATTATTTTATCATTACTTGTAGTTTGGTGAGTTGGAGCTGGTGACATTACAAGAGAAGTGTGATGCATGGAGAGACAGAGCTGAGTCATTGAGTAATGAAATGGATGAACTGAAGAGCCTCTTAGCTCAACTCTCAATAGACAAACTAGCAGCAGAAGAACAGCTGGAACAACACTTGAAGGTAAAAGAAGAGGAATGGAGTAATACTGTGTAGTAGCAAATTTTTTCAGGCAGAATCTTTGTCAATTATGACACAAAAACTTGTGGTATATGATAAGCATATACTCAGTGTACATGTCTCATGTATGTCTTATGTTAAAATTGAACTCTGAAATTATCTCAATTTTATGATGACAACAGTATTAGTACCATAGGGGGTTGCAGGCCTGGGCATAGGGGGCAATGCCCAGGTTGACTTTTTGGCCAATAATTATTGAGGCGAGCCTG